ATGACGCACAGGGGTAGTATTTGTGCTTACGATAAGCACTTGTAAGAATTAAAATAGATAAAACACTTAAAACGATAGTTAGTAACGATACGATAGTAGATTTTCTAACACTAACTTTAAAATTACTTACGTAAACAAAAGTTTTATTACCTATATTTTTAAAGAATTCGTTTTTGTTATTGGGAATTATTCTTCTTAGAAACCGTCACGAAGATTTATTTAGAAATTTCAGCATAAACTATTTTTATTAGAACTTTAGATTTATGCAACGCACGCCATGAAGAGATGAGCCCTTCAATCCCATGGCTTACGCTAGGCATGGTCTGAAAAGCCATGGAGCAGATATATGCGCAAAGGCAGACCTGAGAAAAATGGATAGACTATATGCGTGATAGACTATATGGGATTATCTGCGTAAGAAAGGAAGGTGTGAAGAGATGACGGCTAATGGAGGAAAATGGACGAGGAATACATGCTATGCCGACTACGAGTAACTTGGGATAAGGGCAGAAAGAAAAAGATTTATATCTTTATGTAAAAACTAATATTCCAAAATTAAACATTATATCACATCATCAATGTATATCTGTTGCCTTTTTGTTAAAAGTTGGTTGCAAGTGTCTATGGACTGCAGTAGCCGTTTACCATCACGTGGAATGCAAGTTCATTTGTCACCGTAGTTAAATTAAAAAGAGACACTAGATGTCTTATTTGACTTTGAACCACTGACCAAAGAGAATATAATCACTACGTTTACCACTGACCTTCACTGCTAGTACACTGGACTGGCTTTTCCCTACAAAACGTGTGTGCCGATTTGAAGCGCTGCCATTGATTGTAACGTTAACTATATTTGATATAGTTTGCAAATGGCCGTTGGTTTGGTCAAAACGTCTAAGAGCATTTTAAAGTTAACGAGAAAAGGACTTTGTACATAATACACAGTTTAGTTATGTTTAATGCTAGTAATTTAATAAAAGGTAGTTTAGTAACAATGATAATGTAAAATTTGTTATCGAATTAACAGTTTATCTTAAAATAATTCAATCTATTTGATAATATAGGCTCTTAAAAATCTCAAATCCAAAGTTATAAGTCAAGAAATATAAAGTTTGTAAAATTCTAAAATGTGCCTCTTGGGAGCTTCATCGACACCAACATTGTTAATCTTTGAAGGTCAAGAAGTCATTTTGTCATGGTTATTTTTAATTTAGTATTAATAATCAGAATCAGAAATATTTATTGGCCTTAATATAACAATCGTTACAGGCAAGTCAATGGTTACAAAAGTTCTTAAATTTATAAGATTAACTAGCTGTGCCCCGCGGTTTCACCCGCGTATATCACGCATCTGCGCCTTGAGACATGCGAACTTCGAGAGAGATATCACGACGGACGGTTGCTGAATTAACAAAGATTTAAAAAGTGAAATATGTTACTAAAATTACATGGTTAACGTAATTGGTGGTTATGCGTGATACAGGTACTGATACGAATAATGTCTAGGCCACATTATTTGTATCAGTACGTACTCGTATTAGTAGTAATTGTACGGGGCGTTACTATTTCACATTTTAACATGAAAAAGTAGTTATTGTGACATAACTGTAATAGTTATACATATGGTATCTCAGACTTTTTTGTATCACTTTTATAGAGGATATAATGATTTATATCCTCTATAAAAGTGAAGTACATTACTTTGCTCTATTATCAATAGTTTCCGAAGCGTACGCGATATAAGGATTCTTTTTGGTATTTTTTTCACACCTTGGGTTACATTAACGAAGTTTTCATACGGATTCCTAACTTTTTTGAAAATATTGCATAGCCTATGTTCATCAGGAATAATGTAGGATTCTAATGGTGAAAGAATTTTTCAAATCGGTCCAGTAGTTTCGGAGCCTATTCAATTCAAACAAACAAACAAATCTTTCCTCTTTATAATAGTAGTGTAGAAGTGTAGATGTAGAAGAGTGTAGATACATGATACAGGTACTGATACGAATAATGTCTAGGCCACATTATTCGTATCAGTACGTACTCGTTTTAGTAGTATTTGTACCGGCGTTACTATTTCACATTTTAACATAAAAAAGTAGTTATTGTGACATAACTGTAATAGTTAAACATATGGTATCGCAGATTTTTTGTAGAGATTAATTTCCTCTATAAAAGTGAAGTACATTACTTTGCTCTATTATCAACAGTTTCCGAAGCGTACGCGATATAAGGATTCTTTTTGGTATTTTTTTCACACCTTGGGTTACATTAACGAAGTTTTCATACGGATCCCTAACTTTTTTGAAAATATTGCATAGCCTATGTTCATTAGGGATAATTTAGGATTCTAATGGTGAAAGAATTTTTCAAATCGGTCCAGTAGTTTCGGAGCCTATTCAATTAAAACAAACAAACAAATCTTTCCTCTTTATAATAGTAGTGTAGATTACATTATTTAAAAACATTATTGTACTTTTATTTTATTTTATTTACATTGACGCTTTACACCATAGAATTAGGTAAGTTATTTTGTTTGCACACAGGTTGTTACACAGGAATGATTATTCCAAGAGTTGTACTGACATGTATTCGCTTAATAAGTAAAATGGGTTATTTTCAAAAAAAAAAAAATACTTAAGTTTTCGTTTAAATTTGCTATAGTTTAGGCTAGTTAAACTTTTTGTTAATTTATTATACATCAATTTTTTTTAATTTATTTAAGGCAACAAACAGTCATGTATAAAGATAGTAACATGGATAAATATTAATATAACTAAAGACCTATAGTGCCTTTAACTAAACTTTTACAATATTTTAAACTTATTGAGCCACTTTTAGGACTAAAGGAAATTATAAATTTATTTATTTATAATACACTAAGTTCTAAGATAAGGTAACTAGTTAACATTTGGTGTCCAATTAAGGAAAATAAAGAAGAAAAACCTGTGTTAAAAATCTGATTATTATAACACTGACAGATTCTATTCAGATTAAATTAGCGAATTGAGTGCTGCATCATTTTCAGTGATGGTTAACTAGATTACTCACAAGCCAAACATTGTATTTCAATTCAATATTTTTGAGTAATGCCCCTGTTATTTTTACTTTGATTAATCTATTAATTGGTAGGACACGTTCCTCATTATTACATATATTGTGTTGATTTAAGTATTTCTTTTTCGGTATTTCTTTATCCTCGTGCACCTCTAATAAACTATTATATATATATAAAGCAAAACCACTGTCATTATTTTGTCGTTTTTAAAATGTGTTCTTGCCGGGCTACTTTTTGTCAGACCCTTGATTATTCTTACGACTGTTTTTGATATTTGAAAACTTTTGTAATATCCGCAGCACTACCCCAAATAGTAATCGCATACCTTATTATAGAATGAATATAGGCATAGTACATAGATAGGAGTGTCATTTTATCTAATAATGGCCTGAGTTTAAATAATGCATGATTACCGCTAGATATTTTCTTACAATTTTTTTTCAATGTGGGCTTTGTGGTTGATTGTGTTATCTACTGTATACCCTAAAAATATATTTTATTTTGTAGTCGAGTTACCATAAACGCCCAGTCTCGATTAAAAATACATTTCAATGCTTTTATCAGAATTTAGAATAATACCATTTGCGCCAAACCATTCTTTTAGCAAGCCTATAACATTATTAATTTTATTTTCTAAATTAAATAGACTTTGGTCTCTTAAACCAACATGTGTATAATCTGCAAATAAACTTAAATATGTATAGTCTGGTATTACATTACCAAGATCATTAATATAGATTAAAAACAAAACAGGGCCTAAGATCGAAACTTATGATACTCCAATCGACACAAAACTTTCTGAAGAAGTTTAGTCATTTACTGAAACAATTTGGCTACGGTTATTTAAATAAATTTTGATCATATTTAGTCCAGCTCCTTGAAAACCATATAAATGTTAAGCAAAGTAATCTTCCCACGGTGGGAACAGTACTCTCTTTCCCTTATTGTCAAAATTGACTGCCTCGATGGTCTAGATTTCGTAAGAGCAAATGCTGATTATGACAACCTCATAATCAATCTAATATCCCCATAATAATCAAAATAAGTTATTAGGTTTATCTGACAAGAAAAATGTCAGCAGTACCTCGAAAACAGAAAGTTCGCGGTGTTTTACCCCCTTGCCTTATAATGCTTACGTGCCTTACAAGCTGTTGGTCCTGCGCCTGATCTCCAGTCGTGACGGATTGCCGTCCTATGGGAATATGAGAGTGATCGTATGGAGACACAATCATGCCCTGCGCAATACTAGTCCCATTTAAGATTAGTCGTCAAGGACGAAATTCGCTCTAAAGGACAATATCGTGAAAATAATGGAGGAGGAATAGTCCTCCGCATTGTTCCAGTTAATATTGATATTACATAATACATAAACAACGGAATATATTTAATATCTCAGATGTTATGATAATCATAATGACGCTTTCTTTATAATATTTTCATTCACCGCCAAGTACGTTGTATATTAGCAATTGAAATTCCAGTTTACAACTCTCCGTCTTAGTATGAATATTTTATTGTCATCATCATCATCTTCACCATCATAATTCATCACTATCAACAAGTCTTATAATGTACATAGACCTCAAAGGGATGGAGTGATGATCTGATAAAAGATGTAAAGAGTTGATAAATGCGGGTGTCTCAAGACCGTGCTTAGTACCGATCTTCAGGCCTATTTTAGTGTATATTGAAAAAAGAGACTTGAATAATTAAAGTTCACATATTGACTTTAATATACTTACAAATACTAAAATATTTTAATAACTTAAAAGTAATGTCTATGAATTAATTAAATTCTAAAGGGACTTTACATATTTACTGTAATTACAAATACTAAAATATTTTAATAACTTAAAGAGAATGACTATGAATTAATTAAATTCTAAACCAAATTTATATATTGCTTAAATTAACATAAAGTATAAGTATTAACTTTCTCGGTTCATATCTTAACTTTTTTCGGGTCTATGTTCTTTGTTTTACCTAGTTCTTCTGCTTCACGAATAGTATCAGGTAAGACATCATTTGAAATATCCGGCACCAAAAATGTTACTAGTCCGGCGAACAATGATGCTAAGCCAAATATAAGTGACGGCAGACCAAACCAGTACCGCATCTGAAAGTTTTTATTGATTATTTTAATTTTTTTATATTACAAATTAACTAACCCGGTATTTCATCGATTTTTCGATTTATTCACAATGGTTTGAAAGTTTAACAAATACATAATATAGTTATATAAACAAAATCTGAGTTTATACTAAGTTATTTTATATAACTTTACTGAATTTTAAATTTATCACAATTATTGTGGTAAATCCATCGTGGTATATATAGAAAACTACTATTATCACGTTAAATTTAAGATAAAATATAAAATATATTTTAAGATCTTATAAATGGAAGATCTACGCTGCGGCTATATTATGGCATTGGCACGAATGCATCTTCTCGACCGGAGAAAGACTAAAGAAGAGAATACAAGAGACCTTGATAAAGTAATCTATTAAATATCATTCAGCATCAATTAAGAGAAATATTAGAATAATTTTGTGGGTTTCAATGAACGTCATAATAATTTGTTTATAAATTACTTATGTTTTTGTTCTATATTATATTAGTTATACTACGTATACTATGCAGTTATACTATGCAGCGGAAGTGGGAGTGTATGATTATATAAGTGTTTAGTTTTAGTTTTTTTTATTATAATTATGTTATTTAATTAAATTGAAATTAACAGAATACGATTATGTTTTCAAAGTAAGATTTATTTTTTTCCAAATATACTACCGCTTCGAAACGAGTTTCTACTGATGTGATGTAAAAAAATTACATAAGTCATGGTATTCAGGTCATTGCTTTATTTTGATGGAACTTAAGTCCGGCGATATACTAAATTACAATGTAGTTTGATGGAGATAGCAATATTTTTTTTTTATTATAATTTTTCTTAATACGCTACCAGCGTAATCCTTAAATAGCCCATATCGACACTAAGGTAAATATAGCCATAATCCCAGAATTGTATTTGAATAGCTAGCCTACTAAGAAATATTCGCTTGGCTTTTTTCTTGCCACTAAACAGGTTATTTAACAGGTTTATAATATTGACAACTTAAACTATAAAACGCCATAATTAGTATTTTGGATAGGAAATAGCACAAAACTATCTTATAAAATACGTTATAAAACTTCTTATTTGGCCCATAAAGTCCAAGACTGGACATGTTCCTCCCCATTTATAAGATAATTGCCTCATTAGCCCAAAGTTGACAGTTGGATGGCGATCAGAGTATCTACCAGACGTCTCGTAGCTTTGACATTGCATCTCCTTACCGGTCTGGTATTTTAGTTCTGCTGCAAACGGTATATGGTATAAATGCCATCTGCTGCAAACGATATATAAGATTCCTCTGCTATTTACCGCCGTTACCTCTTCCTACACCTGGGGTCACGCATTCTTTTCAGCCGCCGCCACACGGCACTATAACGTATACTATGTTTTTTCCTTTGTAAAACTTTAATTTACTTGCTAAGTTAAATATAGTTATTTAAGAATAAGTAATAATTACTAGTAATGGTGTCTGCGGAGAAATTATAGATCCAATCCGTCCCAGAGATGAGCAAATTGCATGCATTGAATTTCTTGAGTAAGTAGGAAATAATTCAGATGTATACAAGTAGGTGATATTAAAGTAAAAGGATGACATCATTTTTCCTGCCATGTAGAAAAAGATTGACAACGCAGGCAAATCTAAAAACAAATAAAATATTAGAATATTTTATACGTGGTAGAGCCATGCTGCAGCTATGTTAGTAATATAGTTGTAGCACGAATGGGTCGGCTCGACCGGGTAAGGACTACGCTCTCAAAGAATACCAGCGTAAAATAGCAGCTTAACGCTGCTGTGTTTCGTATGGTGAGTGTAGCAAACCGGAGACCCTTTTTACTGGAAACGAGGCATTCCATATTAGTCCTCACGGGTGACAAAGCATCTGCATTTTGAGTCTTTATTGAGGATAGATGTAGAAGTCTATGGGTCACAGTAACCACATACCATCAGGTGGACTGTGTGCTCGTTTGTCACTTGATTCTATTAAAAATAAAATTTGAAGGTAATCTTTAGTATTCGTTATGTAAAACGTCAGTAGGAATACGAGTACACATCTTATCGTCAAAGACAACGTTTTTGACTTACCCAAGGGCACGAACGATTGTGAAACACAAAGTACTGCTGCAGCGAAGAAACAGCATACTAGTGGCAGTTTTCGTTTGAAGTATATGAGTATGTAGCTAATTATGAAAATGCCTGGTATATCCATACCAGATAATAATGCATAATTAATATATTTATTGCCTTGTAATGATACAGAATTAATTGTTAATCCATAAGTTACAAAGGTCGAAGTTGTCCACCATACAAGACAAACAAAAAATCTCCTTCTTAACAGTTTAGATTTGAAAGTGGATTTAATTATATCTAATAGTTCTGCGTCTTTATTATTATGGCATGAAAGCTTTTCAAGTGATTTTTTATCAAGTTGTAGCTTATTTTTTTTGGCAGCCTTTTCAAGTATCTTTACAGCTTTATCATATTGTCCTTTTATCAATAACCAGCGAGGGCTTTCATCTAATGCATATTTATAAAGAAAGAAAAGAATCGCTGGCGCGTAAAGTACTTGTAATAATGTTCTCCAGTATGGAATAAGCCATGCTGCTAAGGAAAGAATGAAACCTCCAATACTGTAACCAAGACTGCACATGAAAATGAATTTAATCCTTTGATTTGTTGAAACAACTTCTGTAACTGAAAAGGAAAGGAAATGACTATTAACTGGTTTCAGTAAAAAAATCAAGAGTTGTATTTGTGCAAACTATAACTTACTCAAAATAAATGCTGGAGAACATAAATCACCTAAAGCAGCTTCTAAGAATTCAAATGCAACATACAACCAGTACCAAGGCGAGAAACTTCTAGCTAAGCCAAATACCCCACCGAGTACACCAGTTACAATAAGCATTGTTTTTCTTCCCAACCTAAATGTAAAAGGAAAATTGTCAATATTTAATAATCTAAGCAATCAACTTTTTTTAACTCATATTAATAAAGACACCTGATTCTCTTAAATTGTCAAGGAACGTAGGTAAAACATTGTTTTCCTATCATAAGACCTATATTATTTCAAACTACTTTTAGTTACAATATTTTCGGTTGTGATTTGATATTTAATTAAATTAAAGTGTTTTAAACTTTCTACGTGGTAGAGCCATGCTGCAGCTATATTATGGTTGTAGCACGAATGGGTCGGCTCGAACGGGGAAGGACCACGCTCTCACAGAAAACCAGCGTAAAATAGCAGCTTAACGCTGCTGTGTTTCGTATGGTGAGTGTAGCGAACCGGAGACCCTTTTTACTGGCAAAGAGGCATTCCATCTTAGTCCTCACGGGTGACAATGCATCTGCATCTTGAGTCTTTATTGAGGATAGATGTAGATGTCTATGGGTCACAGTAACCACTTACCATCAGGTGGACTGTTTGCTCGTTTGTCACCCGATCCTATAAAAAAAAAACAAATTACGAAATTTAATTTTGAGCGGTGGGTGTGGATGAAATAGACTAGATACGTAAAAGAATTAATAATCACTTTTCTGCGTTTTCTAAAACATTCTTTTATATTCATTCATCACAGTCATTCACAAGTCCACTGATGAACATATTAGGCCTCCCTCAAGGAATACCACTAAGCACGGTCCTGAGCCACCTGCATCTAACGACTTCTTGCATAACTTACCGGGTCATTACTTCATTTAGTAGGGGCCCGCGTAAACTTCGCTTAGCGATACGAGATTACTATGGACAAATCCAGGTGAACCTTATGCCTTACAACTAAAAGCAGCGAAACCATTCCACTTATTATACTATACTACCATCGATCACTAATAAAAAACTGAATACACAATTAGTGACAAAACTGTCCTTACCGAATGAGCACCCACTCGAACATTTAGGTGCGGTTTTAATTTGTACGTAGCTTTGTGAATACAACTTTAGTCAATGCCCTTAAGGTAAAATTTTCATTAATGTACATTGTAATTAATAGAATCAGAAATTTTTACTTCAACTCAAACAACTAAAACAACTTCAACATTCAACAAGGAGGGCGGGAGGTGCTCTTCATACTAGGTAAGTCACATCATTTTATTTTATAGCGCGGATGTTTGCGAAGTAAAAATCTTTTAAAAGCTTTTATTAATTTACATTTATTTCAACTACAATTACGTCAAAACAATTGCAACAGTTTTTAGAGAACTTTTGCATGGGATTGTGTATTTAGTTTTTTTATTAGTGATACTACTAATATATTTACTACTATACTATACTCATTTACGCTTAATTAAGAAAACTTGTATGTAGAATACAAGCTGAGAAGCCCCTGTACAGAAAATAATACACAATATTTTATTATATTCGATATTAAAAAATAAACTATAATAAAAAAAAACGAAATGTAATAACTTAAATATAATACAGTCTTACTGGCCGAAGTATCGTGCCAAGAACGCTGGCTGCGTTTTCTCGCTGAATGGCTTTATTTAGCCTTTGAGCGAGAAAAGAACCAGTCGCCTTATCACCAACAGCAACGACCAGTCACGGATAGAGTTCCTTTAGGAACTTTACCGCACGTGGAACCCGCGGACCGACAGTCTCTACAGCAAATGGCACACATATGTAGTCATCTCTCAGAGACTCATATTTGCGCCACTTACTCAGTTCAGCTGCCTCCTGATGACGCGCCGGCTCTAAACGAGGTACTCTTGAGATGAGAGGCCGCCAAAGTGTATACGCAAGTAGCATCCCACACTAGGGCTTTATCTCTCTCCCAAGGGACCAATGTCATATCGTAGGGTCTCCTGCCGTCGTCTATAAATATACAACATGGCTCTAAAACCAAGGGAACATTAATTTATAGACTGTACTGTACTGTACAGAAATGAATCAAAATAAAATTATTTTAATTTAATTACACAGGTTAGTGTTTTAGCACAACAAATCAGTATAAAATTGATCAAAAATCAATATTAATTAAATTTAAGAATTGCACATAGCGAAATTTATTAGAATTTAACCAAGTTGTAATTATTTGGAATAGAAAATATTTTTGCCACAAGCACATACCTATCCGACATTGGTCCCACTATAAATAAACCGACCATATATCCAAAACTGTGTGCGGTGCCAATCAAAGTTCTCTTCCATTCTTGATTTGCGAGCTGAAACTGATTAATCATTTCTAGATGAGTTTTAGGCCGTGGATATGTACAAAATAATATTATATTGTAAATTGACGTTTAAGAAAAAGTCCCGCTTGGTTTCTTGCTCGTTCTTCCCAGAACAGAGATTTTTTTTAGAACCAGCGGTAAAATCATAAATTACTTTTAATAAGTATTAAATAAAAAGATTCAGTACTTTTTTTCTGGAAGAAAAAGGTCTCTCGCCACGCAGTGTTCAGTCTGGAGAGCAGCCAATTTTCGTGTGCTAGTACTGAATATTTTCTATACACAGTATATCTTTGTGCAGAGGCATTGGAACACTTGACAGATTCGGTCAGTTTAAACTGCATATCACTTTCACTGTCCGATTTTCAGACACAATAGTAAGACAATAGCAATGAACTATATTTAGTACACGGGACAGCCAATGGATTAATTTTCTATGTGCACCGTATATTGGCACCGTAAAAAAATTCTTAATCCTATTTTCATTCGCATGTGTTGAAATTTTTAATTATGCGAAATGCAGTAAAGACGTTTCAACCACCTAAGCGGACACGGAACAGTATCTAAGGTACCCTAAGGTAACTAATGTCGTCATCATCATTACTAAAACCAATCTTAAGTCAACTGCTGAACATAAGCCTCTTTCAAGGAATGCTACAAAGTACAGTCCAAAGTCACCTTCAATTTACTGCATTTCTTATCACATCGTCACTCCATCTAGTGGGAGGCCACCCAACACTTCGCTTACCGGTACAACTGTACCAAGAATGACTGAATTGAAAAAATATTTAATGAAGATGCTTGTATATAGTGGTTTGTGTAGAGGTTATTAATAAAAATAATAATAAAGTATCTTGTGTATGACATATTCGCAAATATTTTCATATAGGTGTATTATCATCCCAAAATATTCAATTTTTTCTGTCACATTTTTCTTTTCTTCTATGTTCCTGGTACATTTTAAGTTTTATCGTTATCCTACTTTGTCAAAAATTGTGTTAGGCAATGATATCTTCTCATTCACGTATTTTCGTTATTATGATATTCATATTTATATAATATAAAAATTAAAATTTTGTACAGCCGACTTCAATATAAGTTATTAAGAATAATTCAAAAACTATTGGTCTGACCTTGATCAAATTCATATGGGACCACACGAGATGTAACAGCTTTCAAATAAAAAAAGAATCGTCGAATTCGGTTCAGCCACTATAAAGTTATGAGGTAAGACACATAAAAAAACATACAGTCGAATTGAGTACCGTCTCCTTTTTGGAAGTCGGCAGAAAATTAAAGTCATCAACAAGATCACATCCACCTGATTTATTAACTTCCTTCTGCGTAGAATTGAAAGGAAGTTAATGCTTTTAGCTGGCAGTCTGTTAGTCTGTATGCCGACACGATAACTTCCGTTTCACTGGACCGATTGACTTTAAATTTGGTATGTGGATACCTTGAGGTAGTAGCTCAGTCGAGTTTGGGTCCTGTAGGTCAAAGGGCACCAGAGATATGAGATTCACGCAGAAGGAAGTTGTTTTTCTTGAATTTACATTCAACTCGTTAGTAATGGTCAGTGCAGTCTTAGAAAACCTGTCTTTATTTTTTCAAATAACAACCTACAGTCGTTGACGTAATATGTACTACGTACTAAAACGGACGCCGAGACTTACGTCTTTGCCATAAAAAGGTACCCTGTGCATCAGTATGTATTACATATAACAATGGCTATAGTTACACTGTAACCCAAGACGAAATATCTCAAATAAATAATATTACCTTTCAAATTGAAACTCAGTAGCGGGTGTTTTACAAAGTAACGTGGAAGAACTTAATCGCGATAAATACTCACTTCTGCTACGAACGAGTCTGGCTTATCATACACCCATTCTATACAATCACCGCTAGAGTTACCGCCAAGAGAATAGTTAGTACACCTGAAAAGGGTAAATAATGTATTATAAGTGATTTATTTCTATAAACATATAAACTACAATCTTTCTAAAACTAATATAGATTTGCACTATGGCTGGCCATGGATCTTTGTCATTGTTGGGAGGAATGACGAAAGCAGTATTTGAACGCAGACCGTGAACTACTCATAACTGGCTACATGGAGTGATTAACGGAATTCGAGTAATGTTAAGAGCGTGACCAGTATATTTTTAAAATAAATTAAAAAAAAGCAATAAACAGCCTGTACATGTAGATAAAATAATTATAACAGTAAAAATATTATCACTTAGCTGTTACTCATAATAGTCGACGTCAATTTGATTCTTAAAGACGCTCTTTTGCTTTTGAATAAATGAGAATAAAAAGAGACAGGTATGCAGATTGTTCAGAATAGAACAAGGGAGATATTAAAATAAAGCTTCTTAGAACTGTTACAAGTATATTTCTAATACAACTACAGTAGCTACAAATCGGTCGCGTACCCATTAGGACATAAAATTTTTGAACCCGTCGTAACGAAGGTATAAGTAGATAATATATTTAAATTGTTGAAATACGATTCATCATTACCGCCCTTTTAAGTCCACTGCTGAACATAGGCCTCCCCCATGGAACACCACAAAGCATGGTTCTGAGCCAACTGCATCCATCGACTTCCTGCATGTCTTACCAGGTCGTCACTCCATCTAATGGGGGGACGCCCAAAACTTCGTCCGCTGGTACGAGGCCGCCACTTGAGAATCTTCTTTTCCCATCGGATGTCGGTTCTTCAAGCTATATGGCCGGCCCATTGCCACTTCAGCTTACTAATCCGTTGGGCTATGTTGGTCACTCTGGTTCTACTGCGGATGTCCTCATTTCTAAGTTTATCACGCAGAGAAACTCCGAGCGACCTTGAGCTTCCTCATCTGGACACCAGTGGAGGACCACGTCTCAGATACGTAAGTCATCACTGGAAACACGCACTGGTTGTACAATTTCGTTTTAAGGTTTTGATGTATGTCTGACGAGAAGTTGTGTCGTAGTTTCTCGAACGCTGCCCAGCCGAGTTGAATCGGTCGATTGATCTCTCGCTCGAAGTTGGACTTAGCTAGTCGGACTATTTGTTCCAGGTAAACATACTCGTCAACGAATTCGAGCTTAGTGCTCCCAACAACTACTGGCATAGGTGTGACATGGACGTTATACATGATTTTTGTTTTATCCATGTTCATCTTAAGACCTATCCGTTCGGAGGCACTATTGAGGTCATTGAGCATAGTGGTTAGGTCCTCCATCGATTCTGCCATAAGGAATATATCGTCGGCAAATCGTGAGTGATGTACTTGCCGTTGATGTTAGTACCGTAGCATTTACAGCCCAGACGCTTGAAAACGTCTTACAATGCAGCGGTGAAGAGTTTCGGGGATATAAGATTCCCCTGTCTTACACCTCTCTGCAGTTGGATAGGTTTCTTTCATAGCCCTACTCTACAAACACTTCAGCACTTCGATATACCGACAGCCAACTTGGCACTGTTGAAGGGACTGTAGCACCGCCTAAATTTCGACGGAATCAAAGGCTTTCTCATAGTCCATGTACTTCTGTACAATTTACCAAAGGGTATGTATGTGGTCTATGGTGCTAAAGTCTTTTCGGAAACCAGCTTACTTGGGAGGCTGTAGGTCGTCGAGTCGTCATTCCATTCTATTCTATTCTGCATGCGAGACGATTCGTAATGACTCTCGAAAACAGCACATAGACGCAGCTCAAAAGGGAAATCGGTCTGTAGTTCTTCAAGAGAGAGTTGTCGCCTTTCTTGAAGAACAAGACCACCGCACTTCTGCTCCACGCCTCTGTTGTAGTGCCACAGTGGAGGACGAAGTTCAGTCTCTATTTACATGCCTAGCTGTTGAGGACTGCATCTCTATTGTAACTAGGAAACTAGAGGAAAACTACATGCCAGCGGAATATGCAGTATTACTCAGACATTGCCTTACATCTGGCTATCTATGGTGGAAGGAAGAGATTAACAGTTTCAAACTTTTTAATTTTAAGACGCGAATGGCTGATTCGGCATGAAAAATTCACAATGACATGAGGTGTATAATGTTGCCAGTGGGAGCTGATATAAGTTGGGTTATCAGTAAAAATCTTATTTTTGCCCGGAAGGTTAAAATTCGTGTGATTCGGTCCGTCAATTCGTGCCTACATAGTATAAAAACACAGGAGGCCTCAACGAATATAATTAAAATTGTTTTCCTTTTCCACCAAGTTTGTAACTTTTTACCTACGTTTTACAAATAAATTATTTGGATTTTTTTGATATACTTAATACGATATACGATACGATAGACGATTAGTTATATATACTGCATATATACGCGTATAGATGAACGTTTATTATTAACTGTGTGACACTTATTACTTAATTTAAGTAAGCTATAATCAACAATTATAAGGGAGGTCATTGAATATTAATGATATCGTTTCGAGATAATCAATATGCAGTGCTTGTGATCTCTCTGATAGGGGCCGGTATCCCAATGTGATTCAATTATGATACAAAAGCGAATGATTGTACGACGCTTTGATCGAAACTCTCACCAGTTTTGGTACGGCATGATTAGAATATGTTATAACTATTTATCGATCGCACGTATAAATAAATAGCTACCTAGCGCGTTATGATCGCAATTAACCACCCGTGAGGTCTCTAATCATTCCATATGAATACCTGAATGCAATAGTCCGAGATCCCAACGCGTGATTACTATATCCATCTGCTTTAATGGATATATAATTTTCATAAACATATATTAAGAGAGAAACACGTTATTGCTTGGTTGCCTATTGAATTTATGACGAAGATTTTTATTTTATAGAATACGGGTAACAAACGAGAAAATAATCCATATGATGGTAAGTAAATTCTATGTCCCATAGACATATTCACATATCTTCGATTAAGAATAAAAATTCAGACGCGTTGTCACCCCTGAGGACTAAGACGAAATGCCTCGTTTCTACTAAGAAGGTTTTCCAGTTCTTTCCACACCATACGAAAACACACTAGCATCACATAAGTAAAGAAAATTACTAATATTTTAGTTAAAGTTTATTGAATGAAATTTATGAAATGAATTAACAACTTTTTTTAAGTGCCAAAAAATATCAAACAAAAATATACAAAAAACTTCAAAAGTGACAAACCCAACCGCTTTTTGTTCGGCCGCAACCTTATAAACAGCCAGGTGTGTAAACAAATGTCTGCTTGTTGAAATTATTGACGTTTTTTAATAAACCTTATATCAGATTAAATTTAGGCAACGAAAAAGTTCACATAATCTTTAAATGTCCATTTATCTTGGCCCTTAGAGATGACAACACATCTTAAGACTTCTTTGTTTGCAGATGGCTGCAGGTGTCCATTAACTTCAGCAACCATTTACCATCAGGTAGACTGTCAGTTCATTTGTCACTACAGTTTTATAAAAATAAAATTAACTTAAAAAATTTAACATAACATTAAAACCAAACCATCAAAAAGGTATTCCTCTGTCAACAATTATTCATAAAAAACTATTTAAAAAAAAACAGATGGCGTAGTAAGAAGTAATCATGCGGTAGGGTCTCGCAAAATTAACAAAGTTATGTTTATAACAATAATTAAAAATAATAATATATTTTGTTGAATTATTATAATATAGGATCTGAGATGTGGGACCCCACTGCTGGAAGCTCAACGCTCAACGAACTATAAAAGTGGCTATGCTCTAAGTTTGTCTGCAGAAAATAGATAGACTACATAATGGGGATATTCACAGTAGAATAAGAATAACTGACATAGCCCTACGGATGAGTAAGCTAAGGTGGCAATGCGCTAGTTATATAGCTTGAAGAACCGACAACCGATAGGATAAAAAGGTTCTCGAGTGGCAGCGTCGAACCGGTAAGCGAAGTGTAGGACGTCCCCTCACTAGATAGAGTGACGACTTGGTAAGAGATGCAGTATCGATGGATACAAGTTACTCAGGACCGTGCTTTATGGCATTCCTTGGGAGCGGTCTGTATTCAGCAGTGTTCTTTGCAATAATTATGATGGTGATGAAGGCAGTGTTTGACTATTACCTTATGAAAGGTGATAAGGATAATCTAGGTTACATCTAGGCTTTAACTCAATCTTGAAGAGTAACGTCGATATAACTCCCACTCCAAAGAAAGAGATGTAAATATATTTAGCAAATTTTAACACTTAAAAGAATTTTAACTATTTACGTTGAAAAAGGTAGCTAAATTTTTTTTATATTGTTTAATCCATCCATACAATTCAGCCTATAAAGTACATTGTAGAACATATAACTCCCCCATAGATTGCCTCATAGGGGGGATTCTCAATCAATCAGGCAGACGGGTTGTCAATCAATTTTTTTTATTATTTTGACCTGTCGTCAGGAAGACTGCTGCCTGTGCCTGTTTGAATTTTCTTATATCGCCTCCTACGACACCCGCGGGAAGAATTGAGGTAGTCAATTCTTCTACGCCGCCACTACAGTTATGATCAGTACCTAATGTGTAGGTTTGTTATAAATAATTATTTTTTCATTATATTTAATTGGTGCAATTAGCTCGCCCACGATGCATGTCGTGGTAGACAATATTTAGTTAACAATACTTAGGATATAAATATTGTATATAAATCGTATAAGTTTATAATATTGTTTAATTAAAATTACTTTATAAATGAGTAGTATAATAAGGCTATATTGTTCTTTCTCATTCAGAAGTAGCTTGGGTTATAATAGATTTACTCCTCTATTGTAAAATTGTAATTGTTTAAGGCTAATAACCTGCGGTTTTATTTACATTTAACGTTTACTTTAGAACAATAAAACATTTCATTGTTTCTTTGTTTAAAAATAATAAAAATATTGAGCGTAACGTTTAAGGTTCCCGCTATCATTTCAAGGTAAATGTTATTAAGGATTACCCTAAAAATTCTTGGTGAAGGTCAAAACGTTAATTTTGGCCTTGGCATACTATAATTTATATATTATATTGATGTCATAAAGGTCAGGCAAAATTATTTATTTTTTATATATCTAAAGCGACGAACGAACTTACAGTACACCGGATGTGGCTACTGCAGTTAATGAACACCTGCAACCTTCAAACAAAAATGGAGACAGATGTATTACAACTTCTAAGGTTAAGATAAAAAGTCTTACAATCATTAGTTATACTGGCTCTCCATACCTTAAAAACCGAAACACGCCAATGTCTCTTGGCGGCAGATATAGTTTAGGTAGCATCCGTACCTATCAAGGTCCCACCATCAAAGAGCTTCAAAAGTTCATGTGAATCTACTGTCCTATTTTTTTTTTATAGAATAAGTGTGACAAACCAACACACGGTCCACCTGATGGTAAGTGGATACTGTAGCCCATAGACATCTACATTTACCCTTAATTAAGAATCAAAATGCAGATGCATTGTCATTGCCGAGAACCGAGATGGAATGCCTCGTTTCCAGTAAAAAGGTTTTCTAGTTCTCTAAACTCACTATAAGAAACACATTAGCATTAAGTTGCTATTTTACACTGGTATCCTGTGTGAGCATGGTCCTACCCCGGTCGAAACGACCCATTCGTGCTGCAACGAGCTATATATATATATATTCAAACGTTCTCGACCTAATGTCGGGAACGTTTGCAATATCGACACATGTCACCAGTTTCCAGTTAAAAGACGGATGTGTTGTCACTTCTGAGGACTAATATAAAATGTCTGGTGGCCTATAATTACGCTGTATTTTATTCTCTTCAGACTGGAACCAAGGAGTGCGCATACTGCTGCTTGTGACAGAAATTGGTAAGAGGGTGTTATCCACACCAATGAATTCCTAGGCAGCAAAATGAATCCCGTGTCGTGGTAGCTCAGCTGGTTAGCACTCGCTGTAAATTTCACAGTACACGAGCAACCCTTTTTTTACGTGGTAGAGCCATGCTGCAGCTATATTAGTAGTATAGTTGTAGCACGAATGGGTCGGCTCGACCGGGGAAGCACCACGCTCTCACAGAATACAAGCGTAAAATAGCAGCTCAAGCTGCTGTTACGTATGGTGAGTGTAGAGAACCAGAGACCCTTTTAACTGGAAACGAGACATTCCATCTTAGTCTTCACGGGTGACAACGCATCTGCATTTAGATTGCACCAATGATATTGTTAATTGCAATGTTAAGTGCTGATTTACGACGTGCTCGTCGGTGTTGGAAAACATCGTGAGGAAACCTGCATGTCTGAGAAATAAGAAAAAAATTCGAATACATGTGAAGTTCGCCAACAGGCATTGGCGCAGCGCGGCGGACATTTCCTTGCCCTAAAACCATCTCAGAAATAACTTTATCTTTTAAATTTAAAATGAATCCCAACACCTACTGAATAATGGTATTTATCGCCCTTTACCCTCAAGGAACGATTATTATTGTAATCGATACAATCAGAAGATGGTATGGCTATAGGAGAACGTCTCGTAGCTACATTTGCGCTACTTTCCAGCACCGGTACTGTTAAGAATGGTACAAAAGACATGAAATGAAGCTCTAGAAATACAAGTATATTCCTGTAACGTGTATGTAACAAATATATTTTTGATACAAATACAGTAGAATTCGATTGCGTGCCCGTTAAGATATTTGAACTAGTAGTGACAAACGTAAAAGTATTTATATATTTGAATTGAACTGCAAGTATAGAACATATGCAGTTATTATAAACTAATTATCTATGGGTTATACAATTATAGATTATATATCATTTATTACACTGAACATGTATTTTTATAAGGAAACTTGAAATACCGTCAACTGTGGCAACATTACCATAATTTTTGACGTTTATGCAATCTACTCAAATATAAAGCTAGTTGATTAAGTTTTTATTGATTTATTATGTTAAAAAGGTGTGCCTCTTTTAGTTAAAACAGAAATTCCACTAAATCTTACATAGAGTCTCTATAATATTCAAGACTATGAGCGGGGTAAAATTGACACATTTTTGGAAACTTTATCTGGCCTACAGTTTGCCTTGCCTGAATGTGTGTCCCAGAGTGCACGCGATGTAAAGTTACCAATGGTCCTTGCCCCAAAAACAGCGATGTACTTATTTTTGAAGCCACCATCTTCGTTTAAGTAAGCGCTACCAATACATAGGTAAAGTCGCACCAAGAATTTGAACAATATTATAGGAACGGGTGGATGTCATCAGGGTTGTCAAAAAATAATCAAACATTAAATCGTTTTTTAATAATTATTAGGGAACCAAGCAATAGAAATTTTTGTTTATGCCCAAAACTTACGATGAAAATTATTACTGATAAACGAGTATCAGTTAAAAGTTTTAGTCGTAATTAGTAAAACTTTTTTACAAAATGTTTCCAAATTATTATTTTTTACTCGCAAGATATTATATAATGCTTATTAATACAAATGGTTATAATCATGATCATTTCATTGTAATTATAAAGAAATATATGTAATTAGAAAAAAGGTTAAGTTAACGATTTATTAATGAAACTTGTATGATTCTTCAAAATAAAAGTTAAAAATAAGTAACAAGCTAGGTATAACGTTGGTATAGCATCAATTATTTTATAAAAGTTACCTTATCCTGGTCGGTACTGCGTAAGATTTATGTATGTTAGAAGTCCTTAGAGATGTTTATTAGAAAAATATTGTATTACATATTTTCACCATTCTACAAGGAATCGTGACCAAGGAAATATTACCACAACTCACTCAATCTTAAAATTTTGACAATTACAGAGTAGTAAAATGTAATTATCGCTATGGTGAAATACACATGGAAATACTACTAGAAAGATGAAAACACAGAGTTCTTGTCAAATAACAAATTCTTAACTATCCTAGTTAAAAAATATTCTCACCTGTAATTTACTTCCTCAGCAACGAAAATGTAATTTGAAGTATAAATAGAATTAGTTGCGAGTGATAAAAATACTAAAGCTGCTATTTGCATGTGATATCTACCGGATTTACTGAACTTTGATAATATATCTTCTAAATCAACTGTTTTCTCCTCTGATGGATCGCTCACTGTCATGATTTTATTGTTATTACAATTAGCTGTAGCTTACAGCAAAATCATTGTGCTTTATTATTTGTATTTTCACACTCACTTTTTTAAATATTAAATTTTTTAAATTTACAATGTATAAATACATTAAATACGTGTGAAGTCAAGTACAGACAAACATGAACAAGTGCGCGTAAGCTGTGGTGACGGCCAGATGCTCACAGATTTTATTTAAACTTCAATCATATTTGTAGAGGGATTGAGTGCAGATAATATCAGCGTGATATTTAATGGCAATTTAACCTGATTTTGTAAACCACAATATGGTATTTTAATTATGATAAGACCTCAAATCGTCCCGTAGGTATCGTAAGAGGCGACAGAGAGAAACAAACCAGGAGATATGCAGCGGCGTCTTCCTTTTTTTTTTTAAACGTTACCCCCACACTAGGATTTTCTCCTGTATCGTGGAGGCAGTTTACAAACACAAATTGCACAAGGACAAACATCCAGACCCGGAACAATTATTTGTAGGCCATACAAATACTTGTTCCGTGCGGGATTCGAACCTGCGGCCCCCAGCCGCAGCAACTCATTGCTAAACCACTGCGCCACGGAGCCGTCCTAAGAAATAAAAAGAAACTGCGGTTGGCAACCGGCCTGTCAAGCATGGGAACTATGGCAAACATTCATGCTATAAGACAATCTACGGTGGAGGCCTATGTTCAGCAATGGACTTTTGATAGACTATAACAGTAAAGGTAAATTAGTGAATGAGTTTCATTTTCAGGTTTTTTTACGTAGTAAAGCCAAGCTGCAGCTATATTTATAGTATAGTTGTAGCACGAATGGGTCGGCTCAACCGGGGAAGGACCACGCTCTCACAGAATACCAGCGTAAAATAGTAGCTTAATGCTGCTATGTTTCATATGGTGAGTGTAGAGAACCGGAGATTCTTCTTATTGAAAAAGAGGCATTCCATCTTAGTGCTCAAGGCTGACAACGCATCTGCATTTTGATTTGCCATCGAGGATAGATGTCTATGGGCCTCAGCAACCACTTACCACCAGGTGGACTGTGTGCTCGTTTGTCACCCTATTTCTATTTCAAGGCTTTTTTTCTCACATCAAACAGATATATTTCAAAAAATTGAAAGATTCAAAAGAAGATTAACTTTAAAAATCATATTTTTAGTACAAAATATATACGTAGTGTATTAATAACTTACCATTTAGTGGCGCTGTAAGAATATCTACTACACCATATCATTCCGTAGGTGTCGTAAAGGGCGACAGAGGGAAATTGAAACAACTGTGGCAACTATGGCAAATCACCAGGCAGTGGAGTTTTATACGCTTCAATGGATGGCTCTATATAATACCAATAATAATTTTTATTTTATTTCTTGATATAATAAGTTGAATAGTTTTTTGTTTGTTTGTTTTTGTTGTTTTCGTTAGTTTAAACACGTTAACCTAGATCTTGTAGATATAGCGCCCAGTAACGACTAGCTAGTGTATTTTTATTTAATTAAAATATGTTATGGCACAGGCCTGCTCTAATTAGAAATTTCTGTAAGGGTTTTAGGGCAAGGAAAAGTCCGCCGCGCTGCCCCAATGCGTGTTGGCGAACTTCACGTCTTTTTTTCTTATTATTCGATTTACCACGTGCTCAGCGGTGAAGGAAAACCGACTACCACTACCTACCAATGCAATTTTAAGTACTGATTTATCACTATACTTTTTATATTATTATATATTTTTTATATACTACTGCAATTTTAATAGTATAGTATTAATAAAATTGCAAAATTATATTGTTATAATTTTTTAATAGTATAATTGTATAATAGTATAATTGTTATATGCTATAAAAATTAAATATTATAATTAAAAATTATAACAATATAATTTTGCAAAATTGCAGCAGTAGTTACTAGTATGACCATGACCTACGTCATACTAGTACATCGTCACGTCATCGACTTGATCATGACGATGACGATGACGATGATCATGACGATGATCATGACGATGATCATGACGATGACGATGATCATGACGATGACGATGATCATGACGATGGCGATGATCATGACGATGACGATGATCATGACGATGACGATGATCATGACGATGGCGAAGATCATTACGATGACGATGATCATGACGATGACGATGATCATGACGATGATCATGACGATGACGATGATCATGACGATGACGATGATCATGACGATTATCATGACGATGATCATGACGATTATCATGACGATGACGATGATCATGACGATGATCATGACGATGACGATGATCATGACGATGACGATGATCATGACGATGACGTTGATCAAGACGATGACGATGATCATGAAGATGACGATGATCATGACGATGATGATGATCATGACGATGACGATGATCATGACGATGATCATGACGATGATCATGACGATGATCATGACGATGACGATGATCATGACGATGACGATGATCATGACGATGACGATGATCATGACGATGACGATGATCATGACGATGACGATGATCATGACGATGACGATGACGATGATCATGACGATGACGATGATCATGACGATGACGATGATCATGACGATGACAATGATCATGACGATGACAATGATCATGACGATGAGCATGACGATGACGATGATCATGACGATGACGATGATGATGACGATGATCATGATGATGACGATGATCATGATGATGACGATGATCATGATGATGACGATGATCATGATGATGACGATGATCATGATGATGACGATGATCATGATGATGACGATGATCATGATGATGACGATGATCATGATGATGACGATGATCATGATGATGACGATGATCATGACGATGACGTAGATCATGACGATGATCATGATGATGACGATGATCATGACGATGACGATGATCATGACGATGATCATGATGATGACGATGATCATGATGATGACGATGATCATGACGATGATCATGATGATGACGATGATCATGACGATAACGATGATCATGACGATGATCATGATGATGACGATGAACATGGCGAAGATCATGACGACGATCATGACGATGATCATGACGATGATCATGATGATGACTATGATCAAGGTATGCGCTGTTTTCTCCATAATATAATAAATCCTTTGACATATAATAAATCGTGACATATCCGCTTAGTTATTCAAATTCCATTATCTCGAAATTCTTACCCCTGTTGCCTTAAGATCTTGATGACGCTGATAAGGTCCTTGTCAATATCCTACGTGGGTCTCAAGGCTTTGAATCGGTTTTTAAGTTCTAGCTGGAAACTTTAGGAACCAGTTACGGTTTGAAGCAGATTTGGTCGATGGGTGAACTTCATCCATCATTGCCTCAGACAACCTTCCGGTATTGAATTTACTGATCACTGAGACAAAGAGAAAAGTTTTAATTTTGATAGTTATTTCAATTCAAGGATATAATTTGTTTGATGTTGAGTTATGCAAACTATACCTGACAATTGAAAAATCGGCCCTTAGTTACTAAATTTTAGTGACAGTGTCGTCTTAGTTGGGCAGTACATTAATTCACGTCAATTTTAAATAGCAATCCCTTTAAGAGCGCTATTAAACAAAGTATTTCAGCAATTTATTGGAAAGTCATAAAAGCCACCCTTGGATTCGAGCGATCTGCATATTTTCTACTCTCCGACAAGTTATTAAAATTATTTCGTTAAAACTTCGAAGCGTTAGGGTTGAAATAAAACTGCTCGCTATTGTAAGTACTCTGTCGTTTTTTTTTAATTTCTAGCAACATTTTTAGATTAACGTATATTAATCCCCTGTTCGAAGTGTAGGCATTATTAGTTATCGCTGATTTTTTTGAAAATATTACCCCCACACTAAGATTTTATACTGTATCGTGGAGGCAGATTAAATATATAAGTTCCACAAGGACAAACATCCAGACCATCCGTGCCGGATACCCCGTAGCCTCAGCGCAGGAACCCAATGCTAAGCCACCGCGCCATGGAGCCGTCAACGTTATTTAAAATATCGTGCAATTTTTTTCATTAAAAATACGAGCTCGCGTCACCACTTAACCCTAGACCCACCTTACACGTGTCCCCCGGGTGGTGCTAAACGAGCGACAAAGCCCAAACGATAGGCTCGGCTCCTCGCCGTATGGTAGCGGCGTAAAATCTACCACCCCGTCGCACCATAAGCCAACAATTAAAAGAAATGGCTCCGTGTTCCCGGCGCCCCTTTAATGGGGCAGGGGTGCGAAGTATCTCCGGGAGGAAAACCGGCGACAAGGTTCGCCACCCATCACGTCCTGTCTCCCGGAGGGGCGAAAAGATGTGGAGCAATGAATGATGAGGTGGATGAAATATGCGAAATGATGAATGATAGAGGAATAAAGAAACACATCTGTGTTATGTGTTAATGAGACGAAACAAAAGGGAAGAGATGTCACTGCACATGGCATGTATACCGCTTACTGGTCTGGTGTAGACGAGACCGAGCGGGCATGCCAGGGAGTCGGTGTCTTCCTTTCAGAAAGAATGGGTCAATGTGTGAAAGAGTATGAATGTGTAAGCCCAAGGCTGCTATGGATACGAATGAAAGTGGGCTTAAAGAAGTTGCTCGTGCTTGGGGTGTACGCCCCAGATATGTCTAAGCCCACTTATATCCGAGAGAAGTTTTGAGACATGGTAAGGCTGGTGTTGACGAAATGTAAGGAAAATTAAAATATTATTATGTTAGGAGATTTTAATGGAAGGGTTGGGGTGAAGAGGTCTGGTTATGAAAGGATATTAGGAACGTTTGTCGATGAAAGAATAAATGAGAATGGTGAAGACCTCCTCAGCGTGTGTGTGGAAAATAATCTTTTTGTGGCGAACACTTTCTTTCGCCATAAGAGGATTCACATGTATACTTGGGAAAGAGGGGATGATAGAAGCATGATAGATTTAATAATTGAGGATGAAAGAATGAGGAGCGCAGTGGTAGATACAAGGGTTTACCG